ATCTCTTCCAGTGAGAGGAATGGCTCTTCACCACAGGGTTTAACCACTAACTTAAGGTGCTCAGGTGATTGTTGTCATTTGCGAGTATTGCTGAGCGTGTAAAACCTTTTAGAATGGAAGAATGGTACCCCCTTACCCTTGATACAAAGCGTGTAGGGTTGTATTTAACAAATAAAGGGGCTCCACTGTACTCTGTTCTGTCTAAAGTGGTGAGGAAACAGCTATGACACGAAAGAAGTGTTGGAAATCACTAGACGTAGTCGAGTGTTTTCCCTAGTTCTTGAGTGCTCTTAATAAAGGCACTTCCTGCTTACCTTACAACAGAACACAACACAATATTGAGGGGGGTGAACGTTCACTGCTGCAGCTCTAATCTTGCATATTTTGGGAAATATTAAGCCTACCAGTTTGGAGTGGAATACCTTAAGGTAAGGAAAAGTACAACATTACGGTTTTCTCAAAAAATCCCGAAATTGATTTAGTACAGTTTTACTTTTGTGTGACGACTATCCCACGCACTGCGATTCGAAAAATGTGTCCAAATGACACTTTATGACCTGATCAGGTGAAGTAGGACAAATTATGCGGCAGGTTTGTGCTTGCCTATTTGGTGACATGGCATGTCTTTCCATCGATAGAAATATGAAAAGTTAATCGTGCTAGTTATGCGGTGATACTTTTAGAACAAAGGTTTCCTTTCTGTTTTTAAAGATATCCATTGATAGAAAGTTGATATCAAACGAATCGCTAAAACATATGTTGACTTGATAACTTACCTATTGGTGAGGGTCAAAATTTTGGTGAAAAATATTTTTCATAGAACACATTGTCAATCCAGTCAACGCTTGAAGTGCAATTGTCAATGGCAATTTGTAATTCCAAGGGTCGTGTTTTGAAATCGACCCTGAAGTGCAAGAATAAAACCGAGCTCGAGCTCTAGCCAGCTAAACTGTCAAGTTTCGTTGAAAGACGTCCTTTGGACATTAATTGCAAAGGTAACAAAACGCTTCGAACGCTATAAGCAGACATAGAGCGAAACTATAAAAGTGTTTTTTTTTTTATTTTTGCATAAGAGAACCTCCCACATTTATCTTAAAAAGGAAAGAATAATGTTATCAACCTGATTTGGCCCGAAGTGAAGGCGCCTTAAAGTTGTTAGGCCTACGATGGCAAATTTAAAAAAAAGGGGCGTGTTTTCATTGCCACCAAGAATATTCTCCTTAACCTTAGGACAATCTCCTGGTTTAAACCGGCCACCGATAATTAACAAATGGTAAACAACACAGCGTACACTATTGAGTTATGGATGCACGCGGGAGGTTGCTGAGCACGAAAGAAGCGTAAGAGTCGCTCGAGGCGATAGCCGAGAGCGATTCTAGCTTCTTAAGTGCTTAGCAAACCTCCCAAGTTGGACAGTGACTCAGGTCCTTATATTAGAACTTAGAACAGCGTTTTGATTGGTTCAAAATCGACATTTAACTCAAGCAGAGGAAAGGAAGGAAAAGAGGAAATATCTCGCAAATTGTAACCTTCACGTGAACACAGTCTGCAATGTGATATTTTAAGTGGGACAAGTACAAACCTGTTACTGGCAAAAACTCATTTACCTGGTGTACGTTTCATTTCATCTGTTTGCGATTTTTATTTTGATCTGATCCCGNGTGACATGGCAAGTCTTTCCATCGATAGAAATATGAAAAGTTAATCGTGCTAGTTATGCGGTGATACTTTTAGAACAAAGGTTTCCTTTCTGTTTTTAAAGATATATCCATTGATAGAAAGTTGATATCAAACGAATCGCCAAAACATATGGTGACTTGATGACTTACCTATTGGTGAGGGTCAAAATTTTGGTGAAAAATGTTTTTCATAGAACAAATTGTCATTCCAATCAACGCTTGAAGTGCAGTTGTCAATAGCAATTTGTAATTCCAAGGGTCGTGTTTTGAAATCGACCCTGAAGTGCAAGAATAAAACCGAGCTCGAGCTCTAGCCAGCTAAGCTATTAAGTTTCGTTGAAAGACGTCCTTTGGACATTAATTGCAAAAGTAACAAAACGGTTCGAATGCTATTAAGCAGGCATAGAGCGAGACTATAGAAGTGCTTTTTTTATTTTTGCATAAGAGTACCTCGCACATTTATCTTAAAAGGAAAGAATGATGTTATCAACCTGATTTGGCCGAAGTGAAGGCGCCTTAAAGTTGTTAGGCCCACGATGGCAAATTTCAAAAAAAGGGGCGAGTTTTCATTGCCACCAAGAATCTTCTCCTTAACCTTAGGACAATCTCCTGGTTTAAACCACCGATAATGCAAACTCTGACCGGCTGGCCTAAGTTCCAAGGACTTTTTAAGCATGATGTTGCAGATAAACCGAGAGATAGAAAAAGGACTATGGCACTTACTTCCTGAATCGTTTGGAAGCTGATTTAGCATGAAGGGTGACAAGACTTAAACGAGCTTAAAAGCTCAATAGTGACCGTTAAATGAAGACCATTTCTTCAGCAAAACTTTCAGGAGATAAAATGGGGGGCTTCACCCTGAAATGTTTCCTGCTCCGGCTTTTTGTAAAGGGAGAAATTCCACAAAGTTCAAAAAGGGGGATTGAAAACGAAAGCTAAGTCGGAGAAATAAACTCAGACAATTAAATTTAACCGAAGTTTTTCGAAGTCACCTTGTAAATTACTCTGAATGATACGCTGCAGCAAATGTGTTTTAAATACGTTTAGCTTATTATGCTTTGCAGCACCAATACAGTCTTACCTTTTTCGGCCAAACAGATATTTCCACGGAGGAACAAAACTATGATCAAGACGGTTAACCGAGTCATTCTTCCAAGCTATGCTTCACAAAATGGCGTTGGCCAGTGAGATCAGGTCCTTATATTAGAACTTAGAAGAGCGCTTTGATTGGTTCTAATCGGCATTCAACTCAAGCAGAGGAAAAGAAGGTAAAGAGGAAATATCTCGCAAATTGAAACCTTCACGTC